GAATGCTAGCATTCTCAGAAATTAATAAGCCACATTTAGCAATGGTCATGATGTGCAAATTTAAAGTACATTATGTAACAGTAGACTTCCTTAGAAGTCTGAAGTGAAATAGTTAGCACACACTACAGGGATAGCTGTCAGCACACTTCCACTTAAATAAACAATATCAGCTGTATCTTTAGCTCTTATGATGATGTAAATGAAAAATGACCCATGTGTACTTGGTACAGCCAACAACAGAACCTTTTCCATGGTTAGCTTGTAGCAGTGCCATGTCCTGTTCTCAGTCTGTTGAAGCGAGCCAGTAATGGCGGAGGGCGAAGCAGTTTTTCTGGGCAGCGTTATTGTGGGTGTTACAAACTGAGCCAGAATTGTTCCATCTCCCATGCATACGTATGCAGGGGAAGGAATTCTGAAAGGATCATGTTTCTACAAATGAGGAAAAAGAGAAAGGTCTGTGTCTACACACGCTGCAGAGCAATGTGAAGGTTTTAACAAGATCAAAAAGTGGATCTGCCATAAACGGACATCTTTAAGGTAATTTATGACAACAGTGGACAGCAGTGTCACTGCCATGTCACTCTGTCACTCAGTGTTCCTCTTTAGATGACAGTAAGTACAATAACTATGCATGTACTGACAATTAAAAAGGTGCAAAGCAGAGTACATCAGGACAGAACATCAACAGTTTATCACATTTTTACAGAAATATATTGTGACTGTTCAACTTTTTCAGGTCTATAAATAATATAAATCTACATTTTTACAGAAATATATTGTGACTGTTCAACTTTTTCAGGTCTATAAATAATATAAATCTCCAGACTACTCTCTAAAACACTGACCTGTAACTGCAGAAAGAACTAACAAGAGCAACTCCGCAACCACTACAGATGAAGAACTTTATGGCTGTCTCTGAGAAAACTTACTGCTCCAAGAGGGCTGCCAGGTCTCTGGATGGTGGCCAGAAATGCTCAGACAAATCTTCTTCCCAACTTCGAATCTTCCATTTGGCTAAGACAAAAGGTAAGAAGGAGAAGGTGGAGGTAAGTATGTGGATGGTGTTAAATTAATAACATACATGCTGTACAAAGTTACGACAAGCAGACTGACATGGGAGTTTGAAACAGCTGAGAGTGAGGGATGAGGAAATGTAGCATCAATCTTCAATGAAACTGAAAAAGACATACTACTAAATAAAAGAGAAAAAGTAGGTTGCCTAACAAAAAAAGTGTCTGTCACAACAATTCAGAGTAGCCTAGCTTTTATCAGGCTGTCAGTAGTGCAGGTGTCATACAGCTGTCGGAATATAATCCTGTGCAGTTCCCTCTGACAGTGTGACGACAGCCCAGGCTTTGTTGTCACGACATGTGATGCAGCCAGAAATGGCTGAGGGTTAAATGACATTCTGTCCATTTTCCACTCTGGGATTATTTGGCTTGGTGTGTTCCTGTTTTGATTCAGTGGAGGAATAATGGAAGGTGATTGAAACATGGCTTGTCTCGGCGTCTTACTGTGAGGAGGATGATGCTAGGGGGCTTCATGGGGTACTCTGGTGGTAGTATGATCCTCCCATGGTAAACCCCACCATCAAAATCTGAATCTGGGGGCCCACGCACGGAGAAGTGCCATTCAAAGAGGTTATCCTGCAGAAGAAGAATAGGAAAAGGTCACACGCTTACTACAGACACAAGGAATCCTGTGACTTCGCTTATCTGTTTTGAGTGGCAAGAATGTCAGTAATTTTAATAGTGAACAGTGAACAGTTACCAGGAAGCGTTACTCCCATACCTATTTGTTGTTCCTGATGCTGATGAACAGTTAGTTTAATTAGGCAATATCCAATTAAAGCCAAGAAAAATTATTTTTCTATAACATTTGCATGATATACTGTGTCTTATGTTATGAACATATTTATTCACTTGTAAAAAATAATCATTACTGTAGTTGCAACCCTAGTCGTATCAAAAAATTACCTCATCATGGGCAGTAGGAGGGCTCAACAAACACGCTAATACCCTATATGTGAAGAAATTACATAAAATGAAGGGTTTATTGTGAGTGATAAACAGCCTGGTCCCTGATGGACTAGTGGCTAGGATTCAGTGCTCTCGCCGCTGCGGCCCGGGTTTGAGTCAGGGTTGCGTCAGGAAGGTCATCCGGCATAAAACACGTGCCAACCTTCACCATGTGGCTCATCAGTGTGATGATTCGCTATGGCGACCCCTAACAGGAACAGCCGAAAGTGAATTATTATTGTGAGTTATAAACAACTGCCATGTGAGAGTTGGATGAGAATTTCTGGATGCTTCTGAAAAAGGAACTGAATCAGAGAGAAAGACGTCCCCTCACTCAAAAAACATACAAGAAGTGCAGGTCCTGAAACCTGACAAATTTCTCCCTGTTATTCACGTATAAACTGTTTATGAAAGTTGAAATTTGACAGAATAACAAAACAGACAAAAAAGTTGAAAAAAAATTGAAGGGGAGAGCCTGGAGTGGATGATAAACATTCAGAATCAGCTTTATTGGCCGGGTGTGTTAGACATGAGGAATTTAACTCTGGTACAGTGGCTCTCAATATGTTTGTACATATCCTTATGTATGACAATAGCAAAGGGGAAGTAAGCAATATACCAATATAAGGCTGTACAATATAACAATATAAACAAAGCAACAAACAATGCAAGCAAAAAAAAGGAATGTGCATTAGGAAACAAGGTCAAACTAAGAATGAAAATAGAGTACTTAAAAAAAGAGACC